GTAAGCACCATATGGGCTTCACTGAAACAAGTAGAGCTGTTCAAGGCTGTGAGCAGTACCAACCCTGAAATTCCACTTCATCATTTAGTTTAAAAGTAAAAAGCATGCAAAATTTTGGAAAATCCTGCTCATATACCACTCCACTGTCCACCCTCTTCCCTCAGTGGAAACAGGCCTGCTGCATATCCTTTTATCTTTCTGTACCACCATCGGTGGTCATGCCTAGAGGCTATATGCCCATAACCTCTGGAACTTCCTGCCTCAATCCTTCCGTTTCACCCCTTTTTTCTATCTTTAAATCCTACTAAGATTTAACTCTTCGACCACGCCTAAGGTCACCTCCCCATTTCTCCCTCGCTCAGTGTCTGACCAACCCTGACATTGTGCCCTGTTCCAAGATGCTATTCTGAAGGGGACTATATAAATGCAAGTAGTTGTTGTTTTAACAAACACAGAAAAACAACTTCCAAGTGACTTAAAAATGGTATCCATGATGCTTGACAATTTAGGACATTTTATTATCAGTAATAAATAATATTCAACAACCAAAACAAATTACATTTGTAAAGCACCTTTCATGTGGAGAGGACATCCCAAGGCGCTGGACAGTCAAAAATTTGCACCTGAACTGGGGGTTGGGCTCGGGATGTGGAGGGCAGGGAAGGCTGGGGTAGGAGGGTAACCCAATGCACGGTCGAAGAGGAGAGTCGTGAAACGTGCTTTGAAACAGGCAAGGGAGGGAGCAAGACCAACAGACTGGGGGATGGAGTTCCAAAGGATGGAGGCAGGGAAGCTGAAGGCCCGAACACTGATGGTGAGGCAGGCCGGGTGGGGGACATGAAGGAGGCCAGAGCCTGCTGAGCGGAGGGAGCGGACAGGTTGATAACTGTATTCATAACTATATTATTTTCTCCTTGAGATGAAAGGAATATTTTCAAAATTACCACCCAGGACATTTCCTTCATCTATAATAGTTTTTCAATAAAATAAATGATATTCACTTTCTGTTGAAAATTTGATGCTAACTCCCTGTGACCTATCCAAAATTAAAATCGGCATTGCTATGCTCAACTGAATTAATTCTAATCCTTCTATTAATGTCGATCTGCAGAGAAGAATTCTACTCTAACGTATCCAGCAAATCTGGCCAGAATATATATTTTTATTGTAAATTAATCATGGAAGCAACAAACAAAATTTCTGTAATATCAAGAATTATACCACATGTAGAAAGGTAATCTGGACAATGTATAAGTCAGTGAATATAGTTAAGGAACGCAATGCTTCAAAATTATTTTGTAAGTATGAAATTACACTTATTTAATTGAACTCGAAAGAATCTGGCCCAAAATGACTTTTATTATTATTGAAGTAAAATTCATCTTATGGTGCTTGACTGCTTTGCAAATAATTTTTAACAAATATTTTGTTAATGAAGGGATTAAAAATACAAAACACACTGATGAGCAAATGTACACTGTTGCAAGCAAAGCAAAGCCACTTCCAACAGTAGATGAATATGGAACAGATTGCCCCAGATTGCCCCTTCAACAGACTGTTAAACGCTAACATGTGACCTAGCGCTTTGCATATTCTATGTGCAGCTCAGTGCAGACCTCTGAAATTGGGTGTCAGTTTTTNAAAAATCTTATTAAAGAACTGGTCAAACTACCTGTTCTTTAATAACATTAAAGCAACCCCAGTGGAGAGTGGAGCCGACGTGGATTTGGTCCGAATGAAGACACATTGCAGTGGTGTGAATCAAACTATCCTTGAAACTGCCTGCTCCAGGTGGGATATACTGGCTCAATCCTGATTTACACTGAACGTTTGGCAGCTGTTTACCATGACTAGTGTAGTATAATTGCAGAATGAGGAACATTATTGTCTCAATTCTGTTTGGAACATGTCATCTGTTGAATTTAAGCAGCCAGGTTTGAATATTTTCTTGGAAGTTTTAATGGTCAATTTTCATATCCTGTAGGAGACTATGCTGGGTGAGTTTATAACAATCCAAATTGGACACGGTCTGTTGGAAGTAACAGTTTGATGGGACCAGCCAGCTGAACTGTAATACACCTCTAGTACAAACCATCAAAGGCAGTAATTGGGATCCGTAAAATTGAAACCAGCCTTGTAACAGGGCGTAAAGAATCAACGTTCAGTGTTTATGGATCATGACAGCAATACTGACATGATCAGTGATGTCATTATGTCATTGTAAAAGTGAGCTGAGAGGCGACCTACCCCATGTGAAGATTGCTATACAAATGCAAGATATTGTTGCTCCGCATGCGTGCAGCTAGCCAGAAGCTTCTCGTGTTACTGCTCTCCAAAATGTGCCATTATTTGATGAAGCATTGTGAAAACTGACAATGTGATTTGATGCATAATGCATGCAGAATGAGCTCAGTGTTTGGTACGTAAATATCAGAGTCTAAGACACCCCCAAAAGCTTTGGTTAATATTTATCAAAACATCATTATGGGGATCTACTATATCCTTTTCAGTATGTTGCGATGTTTATGACAAAATGTTGATCTGAATGGCCTTCTAGATTTCCATTTCCCTTTGGAGGGTGAAGGGAATAATGGAATACAGGAGAAGAGAATAGGAAGGGTGAGGCTTGTGTGGAATATGGCCTGTTCCTGTGACGTAACACTCTATGTAATTCCATGTAGTTTTTTTCCATTCCACCCAACTGTGTTGAGGATAGCCACCTAAAACAAATATGTACACAAGTGTACACCTCTAACCTTCTCTTCTGCACTTGAAAACAATTCAAATATAGGATTGAATTACTTAAATGTTTTGATGTATTAGTCAGTTTCTCCAACAGAACAATGCAAATTTGCATTTCAACATGAATTCAAAAATACACAAAGTGATCAAAAGTTCTTTAAAGTACTTCATATCTGAATGAGTACGTCAAACCATAATTCAACAGAAATAGTACAGTTCACATGTACTGCAGAATTGAAAATAATACCAAACTAAAAGAATCAAGGTGCAGTCTGATACTTCACATTGACCTACCCATCTTCAACTGCCCCATAGAGTACAAGTCTTTGTATATTGTTATATAATTAGTATTTGGATTAATGAGGCAACTGAGGTTGATTGGGAAGATAAGACGCATTATAATGCATCTACTAATAATGATCCTTGTATTTATAATATGTAACCTTATCACATCGCTGGATGTCTCCAAGCACTTCACAAGAGATACTGTCAACTGATGCCACTGTGTGCATTTTGTCAGTGAACCTGGCAATTTGCGCACAGTAATGTCGCACAAACATCCATGGAGTGAGTGACTAATTTTATTTGGGGAATTGTTAGTCAAGGCTTAAGGAGAAACGCCCTTAGAACAGTGCCATAGGATCTTTAACGTTCACTTAGGCAGGCGAATGGGATCTTGGTTTAATGTATCATCCGAAGGATGGCACCTCCGATAATGTAGCACATAACAGCACTGCAATTGACTGCCAGCATGGATTATATGAATTCCAAGTCTCAATGTGGGGGTTGAACCCACAAGCTTTTGATTCAGAGGTGAGAGTGCTACCAACTGAGGCAGGCTGACACAATAAATGGAATATGTAGTGGAACCTTAGTATTTTTTAAATAAAATGCGCACACACAAACATAAATTGATAAAGAACAAAGTATGAAACCATTTCAATAGTCAGATACCGTATAGTGTTCTTTTCTCAAAAAAAGAGTATAAATATTACATTTCAGGAGAGCATAAAACTAAAAGATCTATTAACTTTTAAAAAGTAGCATTATTTTATTCACTATTACATATGACAGGATTCTGTCACTGAGCTATTTAATAATGGGCACAAGCACGATAATTTTTTTTGTTTTAAGATAGAAACGTTTGACTATCCCAATGAATCTGTGACTTCATTTAATAAGTAGATGAACCATATAAGACCAGGAGGGCCCCAATTTTGGTCTGTACCTAATTAGTTGATCTCACACGGTTCACCTGAAAATGGTTACAAATGGCCTTGGCTCCCTAGTTAAAAAGAGGATCCTGATCATTATACAGTTACCCTCCCCTCAAAAGCACGTGTATGTATATATGCATGTGTATGTAGAATCTGTATATAAATCTATAATATATAATGTATATATAATGTGTATGTAAAATCTGGGAGTGAGGACAATGTTAGGTTCAGCTGTGCTGTCCCTTCATGGGTGCTTAGTTTGCTGTCACACACTGTAATAGCTCATATATGAATTATTTGCCTACAAAACACACAATATATTGTGTGAAACTCTTTCAGACTTCTGACGTGAAAGCCACTATATCAAATGTAAGGATTATTATTAATGCCCATCTTTATTAATTGACAGGTGCACATGAAACTGTGATTGGTGAGTGATGGCTCTACAGCCTACCTCCAGTAGAAGGAAAAAAGGAATCAAACGAGAGGAGAGGAGATTAAGATGAGGTGTAAACAATTGGCAATAATAATAATAATCATCCTTGCATTGATATAGCGGTTTTCATGTCTTCTAGACGTCTCAAAGCGCTTCACAGAATAAGCTGTAAAGTGAATTGACCGTATATTCGTGGGCGAAACACGGCAGCCAATTGCGCACAGCAGTGTCCCACAAACAGTCATGGATTGAAAATGACCAAGTTATTATTGTTTTGTTTTGGAGGGATTATTATTAGACGTGTGGAGTAAGGAAACGTGCCCAAGGTTTCTCCCTGCCTGGAATTGAACCCAGGTGTCTCGCTTGCAAGGCGAGTGCTCTAACCACTGAGCTATAGGACTCCAGAAGAAGAAATAAATGCAAATATATACTCGTTGTATATGTACAGTTGGGATTTCTAACTCACTAAGTTAAATAATGCATTAGTCAACTATGTTAAAAGTATATAGAATTTCGATGTGGCTGCACAGAGATAAAAGTACAATAAATATCTTATATTACAATCATTCTATTATTTTCCTACAATACGCAGAAAAAGTACTTACGCCATATTTTCAGGATCAACTGCACAAGCTCCCACTGCTCTTGTGACATTGACAAGCAAAGCTTCATTAGTTCCACTTAGAAGATTGATCAATGGATCCATGCCTCTACAATTTCTGATAGTACTGCGATTAATCGCCACCTGAGCACATTCTCCCAGTGCTCCCACCACATTGACAAGAACTTCCTCGGGCTGATCAATCAGCAGACTAACCAAAGTTTCTATGGCTTTTAATTCTTGAAACCTGTAAGCAAAAGTGATGAATTTACATAAAAATATTTTATTGGAATATTTGAAAAGTTTAAGCAGTTATATTTATTGTAGAATCATAGAATATTATAGCACAGAAGGAGGCCATTCAGCCCATCGTGCTCTTTGGAAGAGCTACCCAATCAGTCCCACTCCTCTGCCCTTTCCCCATATCCTTGCAAATTTTTCCTCTTCAAGAACCTATCCAATTCCCTTTTGAAATTTGTTATTGAATCTATTTTTCCACCAGGCAGTGCATTCCGGACCGTAACAATTCACTGTGTAAACACATTTCTCCTCATCTCCCCTCTTTTTTTGCCAATTATCTTGAATCTATGTATCCTGGTTACTGACCCACTTGCCAATGGAAACAGTTTCTCCGTATCTACTCTTTCAAACCCCCTCAAATTTTTTAACATCTCTATTAAATCTCCCCTTGACCTTCTCTGCTCTAAGGAGCTTCTCAGCTAATCCCCGTTTCTCTAGTCTTTCCATATAACTGATGTCCCTCATCCCTGGTACCATTCTGGTGAATCTCTTCTGCATCCTCTCCAAGGCCTTGATATGCTTCCTGAAATGTGATGTCCAGAATTAGACACAATACTTTTATACTTACATCAGCAGTGATTGAAGCCAACTCTCAGCTGTCTATATTTAGCTTATTCTATATTAATTACATGAATACATATCTTCACATATTGATAAGGATTACAAGATGACTTGCTATTCAAAAAACTTTCCAAAAAACTTTGGTGGCAATCTCCATTGCCCTTCCACTAGGGTCTACCAACAACGAACTTAACTAACTATTAACTATTTGGAAATGATATGAAAACCCAGCACAATTGTCATTTGGCTCCTTTGTGGCAAGACACACCGAATTCATCTCATGCAAGCAAGACAAGAGAGTGGAAAATATTTGCAATTTCAGTGCTCTACAGAGAAATTTGGACCAGAATGACAGCCAAATGATTTAAATATAGATTAAAATAGGCAATGTCATATGTTCACATCATGTTAGATTAATCTTGCAGTCAGTACTTCAGAAGTAATTAATTCCCAGTGCATAAGGTCACAATTGTGTTTGGATTATATGTTTGAGGTTACTTTCAGAGCGCTGACCATTTCAGGCATTAATCAGGCAGTGTTTAAAGGTGCAATATTTGACACTAGTACGAATTGCTTCATTTTAGAAGACACCCTAAAAACAAATTTGACTTTAAGATTCTTCATAGCCAAACACAATTTAGACTGATGACGATCAAGCCTATACCGTATTACCTCCACAAATGATATCAAGATAAAGTAAGACTTCCATCCTGCCCTTTATAAATAAACAGGCTGTTACTTTCTGTCTTCTATTGCCAAACTTTTCTTTGTTCCTTAAAATGCAAGTTGATCATATAGTCCTTGGCCAAATTATGCAGAAGGCAGAATTCAGTGAACATCTTGCACATCTGTCAGGTATCTCCCGATCAGTCCAGCCGAAGGCTTGTTAGATTATATACATAAAGTACTGTTTCCTTTTTGAAGGAACTTAAATCTCCACTTATAAATAGGATATTGTCACCGTCCTATGAACGGAAACATGTTCCTTTAAGAAATGTATGCCTGGTGCTGTCTGGTATTTCCTCTATGTTGTATATAAGACTTTTTCTTTGTACGTAAGACCTTATGCAAGCCAACATTCTTTGGTTCTGTTCCTCGCCCCAAGAAAGAGGTGGAATTTGTCAGCCAGCTGCTGAAAAGTTGTAACTAGGTTGTGTGGAAAAGTTGCCTTTAGTTGAACATTAGGATCCTATAGCACTATTCAAAAAGAGCAGTGTCCTGGAAAATAATCCCCAGATACAGTTCCCCTATAAAATACACAATCACTAAAATTTTACACTAAAATTCTGTGAAGCACTTTCAGGTGGCTCAACAATGTAATAAGGTTGTGTACAGGATTATACAAAAATAAGACAATTGAGCAAGAAAGTGTTTCCTGTTTAGCTTAATTATATTTTTAAGAGAATTGATGGCACTGAAAGTCACTTTTCTCTTCTGCAAAAGATTATATTATATTTAACATTCATAAAACAAATAAAATCCTACATCAGATACAGTAAGCCCAGGAAAAAAATAAGAGAAGAAAAGCAGTTGGTTTGTGATCCTGTTTGATTTTAGTATCTGAAATTTAAGGTAAGAGTTTAAAATTGCTTCTTGTGAAATGTAAAAATAATGTAGGAAGCAACATTTCATTTGTCATATGGAAAGTGGTCATTTCATGGAATTTTTACTTGCATAATGGTTTTCTTTTTAATGAGTTGGAAAGAATGTACAAAATGCAATTTTTCATAATGTACTGGTTCACATGTTGATGTTCAATTAATCAATTGTAATGTAACCACAAGCATGTGTACCATTAAAACAGTAACAACCAGACTTTAGTTACAGAAGCCAGATCAATTCCCACTAGACAATTTAATAATCATGGAAAAGCTTGGTTCCAAACAATACCACAAAAGTAACACAGTAGTCTGAAAAATACTCAATATGTCAAACAAAAATGTCAAGGTATTACTGACTGGAAAAACATTAATATTTGTCAAGGGTGAACGAGTTAGAACTACAACCTTAGTGTTATGTTATAATCAAGATAGCTATAAAATACAGATAAAGGGAACACAACAGATTTTATATTCGGTATTAGTAGATGCATAGAATGTTAGGGGCCTGCACTAGGGGTTCCCTGACTTTCCATATCTGGACTTTGACATTGGAGGAAAGTGTGTAAATTTGCTGATTTGGGAGCAAAGCAAACTTGAAGAAGGCGACAGTAAGACTGACAGGTGAATGGCGTGATGTGACAGTAGTTTAAAATTGAAAAGCGCAGTGTGAATGGTGTGTTAAGTGTGAACGACACTAATGTGTTTAGCAAAATGCTGTAATGAAAAAGCAAGTGACAAATGTTGAGGTCCTCTTCACAAACTGAATGCCTCACAAACTGAATAGATCTACTGAATGAACAACAACAACAAATTACATTTCCATAGCTCCTTTCACGTTGGGAGGATGACCCAAGACGCTGGACAATAGTCAAGAGTTTGCACTGAAGCTGGCGGTTGGGATTAGGAGGGTTGACGGGCAAGTGAGGTGGGGGTGGGAGGTGGCCAAAGGCATGGTCAAAGAGGAGGATCTTGAGATGGGCCTTAAAGGAGACAAGGGAGGGGGTGAGGTGACTCCGGGATGGAGTTCCAGAGGGTGGGGCAGAAAGACTGAAGGTCCGATCCACTGATGGTGAGGTGGGCAGGGTGTGAGATATGGAGCAGACCAGTGCAGCCAAGTGGAGGCAGTGGGTTGGAAAGGTTTTAGTAGATCGCAGAGTTAGGGAGGAGCAAGACCATGGAGGGACTGTGAATAAATCTCTAAAGTTCAAATAAATATTAATTGCAAGTGGAAATTATTTGGGGAAAATGCTTAATTGGTCAAGGGGTTAAATAGAGATTTCTCTATTTGGAGATTTCTCCAAGTCCCCAAACTCCACATCCTAAGATTATGGAGGATCCCTGAACTCCATATGCAAGGATTATTCTCCTTGGAGCAGAGAAGGTTAAGAGGAGACTTAATAGAAGTTTTCAAAATTATGAGGGGATTCGATAGGGTGAACAAAGAGAAACTATATCCACTGGCGGGTGGTTGGTAACCTGAGGACACCAATTTAAAGTAGTTGTTAAAAGAAACAGAGGAAAGGTGAAGAGAAATATTTTCACACACCTAGTTGTTTGGATCTGGAATGCATTGCTTGAAAGAGCGGTGGAAGCAGATTCGATAACAACTTTTAAGAGAGAAGTAGATAATTATTTGGGGAGGACAAGTTTGCAGGGCTACGGGGAGAGCGCGGGGGAGTGGGATTGATTTAGGTAGCTCTTTTCAAAGAGACAGCACAGACACGGTGGGCCGAATGGCCTACTTCTGTGCTGTATAATTTTATCGTTGTATGATTCCGCAGTTTATCTGCCCTACATCTGTATTCCAGACATGGAATGGCACAGATAAGAATACAACTTTCCACATAAAGGGAGGGGGAGGCTGACCTTCACATTTGAACAATTGTGGAGTTGTAAAATCTGTCTTTGTTTGTACTGCTCTTGGACGTCTTTGTGACCTGCAGTGTTTTGCAGGATCTTCCTCAACACCATGGATCCTCCCGAGCCTACACTAACAATGTGGTGCACACAGTCTGACTACATCAATGGAATGTGAAGTGTACAAACACACATGCCAATTAGCTGCATTCAAATATCTCCAATTAACTCAGTGCTACGAAGATCTTTTCTTCTCCAAAAAATTGCCATTCGATTTACACAGTATGAATACACTACCATCTTAAACATACTCCCCAAATAGATGCTAAGCTCTTGCAGCATTATCATGGATTGTTGACCCAGTTTGGAGAACATTCAATATGACTGGTACATTGTTCCTCTCATTCATCACCAGTATTTTCATCAACAATATTTTAAGAATATTATTGATTTAGCAATAGTCCGAATTAAGACGCTACATTAATACGTATGTTCATGTGCGATAGCTGCAATGAACCATATACAGGATATGGGTCCATGAAAAAATAACCGTTGGATCCACAAAAAAATGGTCACTGGCCTCACTTCCAGGTCATCGGGTTGTCATTAAGGCCACTAAAAGCTTCTAGTACTAACTGGAGGGTTCCTGTGCATTTGCAGGAGGCCTGTGTTTAGTGGTTAGAGCACTCTCCGCACAAGCGTGAGTACCTGGGTTTGATTCCTGGGCAAGTTTCCTTACTTAGCAGTAAGTAGGAACACGGTTGTTAATCAATTGGTGGATCGCTTTTCTGGGAGTAATAATCCCTTCCAAAAAAATAGTAATAATAATAATTTGGTCACTCAATCCACGACTGCTTGTGGGACACTGCTGTGCGCAATTGGCTGCTGCATTTTGCCCACAAAACATAGTCAATTTATATTCTGTTTGGCGCTTTGAGATATCGCGAAGGCGTGATAAGGCACTATATCAAATGCAAGGATTATTATTATGCACAGATCACCACTCTTGGAAGTGCTTCAAGCCGTAGAATGCTTGCAAGAATGGTCATGGCTGGCCAGCCAACTTCCTGTAATCTGCACACATGCTTAATAAATTGGTCAGTCCACTCCAGAAGCCAGAAGTGTATAGGATTTCCAGTAACCACATGTCCAAAGGACACTTGAGTCACTTTCCACCTTGATGCCTTTATAATGGGGTTGTCCAGTGACACATTTTGAAAACATTGATACTGTAGAAAGATCAATACATTTTCCCTAAATATTTCTCAATGTTAATTGAACCAATCTAATTCTAAAATAACACACAGGTTAGGTAAGAGGTAATTTTTGTGGTTTTTGTACACAATAAAATCACATTGGCATCTAAATTTCACTCCGCATCAGTCAATCAGTACCTTTTTACATTTTCCATGCTAATAGAACATTTCCACACTGCTCCAGTGGCTGCTGCTAACAACGGCTTATTGTCAGTTTTCCCAAAAAGTTTGACCAGCGGTTCCAGTCCATTTTTTATCCTTACAGTATCACGGGTTTCTTTATCCACTGCACACTAAGAACATAAACAAAGAAGAACATAAACAGGGGTCTTGCCAACTTGCACCCTTGATTAAGTAAGTAGATGTGTCCTTCCTGGGTGAGAGAGCACATTCTCTTCCAAACACATGGTCATTTTGATGTGTAGATGGCATACATGTGTGCAACTATGTCTAGTTTGGATACTCTTAAGCAGGATGATGAGTTTCTGCTTTTGTTGATTTAGTAATTAAGAAATCCTGTTAAGTAATATTGCAAAATTGACTCGAATTGGCACAAGTAATTTTATATTTGTACCTTGAAAATAGCACGAGCACAATGCATTTGAAGCTCTTCATTTTCACTGGAAAGATTTTTAACCAGGTATTGAATCATTTGCTCTGCTCCAATGGCCTCTCTGTAGCTTGCCTACAAAAACAAATAGGAAACAATTAATAGAAAGGTGTTACACAGTACTGTTATACAATGACTTAAACTTAAACTTTACTGGAATATTTACATGCCAGGCCTAAAGTTCCCTCACCTGGCTGATGTCATTTTACAATCCCCTTAAATGTAACTACAATAGTAGGATAACAATGAATAGTCTAATTGACAACACAAAACTATATCACTCTGTTACACAGATATTAGCTTCACATTAGCATGTTTGGAATAAACTCCCTGAAAAAAAAATGTAGAATTATACAAAGAAGCACAGTATTGATAATAGTATAGTGGATTTTATTGGAATATTCATGTCTGATGTTTAATCATAAAATAAAATCCTGAGCCTAAAAGTCAAAGAAAGGGCTTTTCAGGCCTCAAAAGTTTTTTTTCCACCAGCGAATAAAGTATTAATATTAGTGGCATGTGTCTTATAATGGAATTAATACATTATACATATTTACTGTCAAACTCGATAAATTTGATGAACAGCAGAAAACTACTGGGCTTTAACTAATAAATGTTTTATAACTATCACTATGTTTTTACTGGAAACTTTAAAGGAATCTATTTGAAGGAGTCTATCACCCACTGAACACAATCACTCAATGCATGTTTAGAATGTAAAATCCTATTATAAAGACAAAATATAAAGTTTGCTAAGCAACTAGTGTGCCTTAACATTTGATGTGTGAATTTTTAATTACATATTCTGCAAAAAGGTCATTTTGTTTAGATTCTTAGTGCATTTAATAAAAGGTATAAAATCAAAAACATGTATGTTTATCCAAATTTATCTCAAAGAATATTGTATATTATATTATTGTTTAATTTGTATTACCTCTGATGCACATTCCTGCAAAGTGCCTACAACTGGGATAAGCATGTTTTCATGACGTGACTTCAGGAGACATGCCAGCAGAGGAATCCCGCCAGCTTTACGAATAGCCTCCTTATTTCTTTTACTTTTACTGCAGCTCCAGAGAGCTAGAGCACCACAACGTGCCACTTCAATGGTTTTGTTCTGTTCTGGGGTTAGATTAGTCGAATGCATTGGAACACAATCCAAAAGGCCGACCTGAAAATGACAATATTTGACAATTTTAAAAACACTTAAAAATTCACATCACAAGATTTACTGCCAACTTAACATACCATACACCTTACCATGTATTGTTAAGGTTTAATTTGTCTGTCTTATTCATAAATGGGATGAGGAGTGTTAATTACAACTTTGGTTTCTGAATATCACAATATCAAAGGGTGACTCTTGTGATATTTGCACATTGCCTAATTGCAATTTCCTAAACTTCTGAGTCCAGAAAATGACCAGAGGGCATTAGACCCCAATATGATACAACCCCATCCAACTACAGTATATTGTATCAGAGTAGTAAAGCATGTATTTACAATAGCAGTTCCTTTGAATAGTAACAAAAAGGCAAAATGTATAGAAGAAAATCAGCAGTCATTCTTACTGTATCTTCAAAATAAGAGCAACAAATGAGAATAGGAATTGCACCAATTTATTGAAATGATGAGAGCCATGCGAAAAAGACTACCAGTACAGGTAATGGTAAAATAAATTACAAAAGCTTTCAGAAAGAACTAGACAATTTCGTATGAACTATAATGATTTGGGTTATTATATTTAAAAATAACACATCATAGGAATTTTAGGTAGGTTAGATGGATGATGATCCCACTCCTGTTGAAAATATTTACTGTTACTAGAACTACCTTGGATATCCTAATTAATATGCCATACTATTAACTTGATTAAGAATTGAATAAATATTCTAATAATTTTTACTTACCAGTCGTTTAATGCCATCAAAACGTCTGACAGTTTGCCTTGCTCTTTTGAACTTGGCTACATTAGCAATTGTTTCTGCTGCCAAACACTGTAGATCTTTATTGGGGGAGTCCAGGATTTTCACCATTGTCTGCAAACCACCCAGATCAGCCATGCAACGCTGGATTTGTGGATTTTGACTAATTTCTTTTAGGATTTTTAAAGAACCAATCTAATGTGAAACAGAAAACAACTATTTGCATTTATAGAACCATAGAAATTTGCGGCACAGAAGAAAGCCATTCAGCCTATCATACCTGTGCTGGCATCCTCAAGAGCAACCATTTCAGTCCCATATATAGCAGCCTTCATCCAGGTTAGTGACTCGGAGCACTGAGAAGTTCATTTTAAAGTTCAGGAACCCCAGAGAACTATAATATTCATTATTTAAACAGATATATTGAGTATTGATATTGCCAGAATGTCATCCAAATAAAAAAAAATTCCAATGCTGGTTTGCAAAAAGGGTACAGACATTTATGAAGTACTTCATTTGTATTCAAAGAAGAGATTAAAGGAGCACACAGCAAAATTTATTTCAAAGTCCATTTCCTAAACAATATTTTAAATATATACAGTATATATAAGCCTTAAGCCGGGCTTAAGCCGGGCACATTGGGGGTGGCCTTTTTGTCTGATTTAAGCAGCGTCTGAGGTTAACCGAATTTCCTTTTCCTCTTCTCGCCCAGCAGGGAAGCAGTGATGGTGTCTGCTCCTTCCCACTGCCGTTCCGCTTGGATGGGAAGGAAACCAATTAGCGGAGACTCCGAGGTGATTGACAGCCTGGACCACTCCATTCACAAGTAGCTCCTGCCAATCACTTGCTATTTGACTCCTCCGATTCCCTCCATTGTTTCTTCACAATTCCTCTCCCCCCCTCACTGGTTAACAGCTTGCAGCCGCTTGTGAATGGCCGGAGTCTTCTGTCAATCAATCATAGTTTGACTCCTCCCATCTCCATCCTAGAGCCGCTTAAGACACAGAAGTCGCGAGTGAGTAGATTCAGGAGCAACCAGTGTGGCATTTTGTCTTACAGTTTAACTTGTACCAGTGTCTTCCTCTCTCCCATCCTCTGTCTGTCTGTCTCCCCTGTCGTTCCCCTGCAGGCTGTTCATTGCTAACCACCATGAGTGCCCTCCCCCCTCTGCACCACCTCTAGCCCCCACAGGCTCCTGCAGGCTGACAATGTCCCACTAATCTGCCACCTCTCGCCCCAGCGTGCGAATCCTGGCTGCCTCCCCCGACCCGAGCTGGCCCTCCCTCAAAATGCCCCCCTCCCTGCAACTCTCCCGCTCTGTCCTGCTCTCTCTCCGCCCTCCCCGCCTCCTATTCCTGCTTGACCCCCCCCCCACTGCCTCCCTCTGTTCCAGTCTGGGAATCCTTCGTCTGGCTCATCGTGGCACTTGGTGTTGGCTGTCCAACACCGACTGCCCCATTCCCGACTACCGCCGCAAGCCACCCCGGACCCAGACCCCGGGGGCTAACTTCTCCTCCCTCATCCACATCCCCACCCTCCCTGCCAACCAATCCACTACTCCCGCCCATCCCACACATCCCCTGCCAACTGTCCACTTCGCATTGGCCTTCAAAACGTCAGCTCCATCTGCAACAAGACCCTGGCCATCAATGAACTCATCCTCAATGAGAACATTGACATTATGGCCCTCACGGAAACCTGGATCACCTCAGGTGACACCTTCCTCCTCACTGAGGCCACACCACCAGGCTACGCCTACCACCATGCCCCACGCCCCAACCGCGAAGGGGTGGCCCTCATATCCAGAGCGTCACTTGCCCTAACCCCCTACTCCACCGGCTCATTCACCTCTTTCGAACACCTTACCCTCTGCCATCCCTCCCACCTCTCTCTAAAAATTCTCCTACTTTACCAACCCCCCAAAATCCTCCCCCACCTTCATCTCTGACATCTCCATCCTCCTTGCTTCCCTCTGCCTCTGCTCCGACCGCCTCATCATCCTAGGCGACTTCAACCTCCACTTCACCCCCTCCTGCTCCACCTCCTCAGACTTCTCCTCTCTCCTCCCCTCTCTCAACCTCTTCCACATCCACTCTGCTACCCATGTTCACGGCCACCCGCTCGACCTGGTGATCACCCGGGGCCTCAGCGTTTCAGATATCCCCATCACTGACAAGGTAATCTCTGACCACCATTTCATTTCCCTCAACTCCCATATCCCTCTCCACACTGCCTCCAAACCTACCACCATCTTCTACCACCTGTGGAAGAAGATCTCCCCGCAGTCCCTCTCCGCTGCCCTGGATTTCACTGAACTCCTCCCCCTCTGGCCCACCTCTCACACAAACCCACCAGCTCTGTTTACTCTTCTCCACAGTACCCTTTCCACCACACTCAATGCCCTTGCCCCCCTCACCTCCCGAACTTCCTCCTATTCCCAATCCTCACCCTGGTTCACCAGCCACCTCCGCTCGTTCAAGGGCCAGGTGTGGGCTGCAGAACTCACTTGGCTCAAATCTGGCCTCACGGTCCACAAGCACATCTGGCTGGACCTCATCAAAACCTACCGCTCCGTTCTCGCCTGGGCCAAATCACCTTTCTATTCCAGGTTAACCTGGAAGCGAAGGGCATCCCCAGGTTCCTGTTCTCCATCACCAACCGGTTCCTCCACCCTCCCCGCCATGCCTTGCAGATTCTTTCCTCAGACTCTCACTGCGAGAAAATCCTGGACTTCCTTGAGTCCAAAATCGAGGGAATCCACTCAGCTGCCACTGCCCTCCCAACTTCTAACCCCTCCCTACCCCCACCCCACACTCCGACAATTACCCATCCCTCCTTCCAGACCTTTGAACCTGTCACCTCCTTCTCTGTCTTCTCCACCATATTCTCCATGAAGCCCACCACCTGCTCCCTGGACCCCATCCCCACCCTTCTCCTTAAATCCCAGCTCCACCTTCATGTCCCACTACTTGCCGACATCATCAACCTCTCCCTGACACTGTTCTATCCCCCCTCAAAACAGTCATTATTACCCCACCTTGAAGAAATCTTCCTTTGACCCATCACAGCTATCCAGCTACTGGCCCATCTCAAATCTCCCTTTCCTATCCAAGGTCCTTGAGAGAGCCATTGCCTCCCAGCTTCGCTCTTTCCTTTCCTCCCACTCCCTCTATGAATCCTTCCAATCGGGTTTCTGTGCTGTCCACAGAATGGAAACTGCTCTGGTCAAGGTCACAAACAACATCCTGACCATGTGTGACCAGGACTCCTTCTGCCTCCTCGTTCTCCTCAACCTCTCCATTGCCTTTGACATCGTGGACCACTCAATCCTCCTCCACCGCCTCTCCTCCCACCTCAATCTTCAAGATTCTGTCCTTGACTGGTTCAGGTCCTACCTTTCACACTGCCTCCAATTCGTCGCAGCAAACGGCTTCTTCTTCAGCCCCGCACTGTCTCGTGCGGTGTTCCTCAGGGCTCTGTCCTCGGTCCCCTCCTCTTCACCCTCTACATGCTCCCCCTTGGTGACATTATCCGCAGACATGGGGTAAATTTCCACATGTTTGCGGATGTCACCCAACTCTACCTCTCTGCCTTCACCCTGAACTCCAGGACTACTGGCGTCCTGCCCGACTGCCTGTCCGACATCAAGTTCTGGACAAGGGACAACTTCCTCCAACTCAATATCAGCAAGACTGAGGCCCTCCTGATTGGTTCGCGCCAGTGCCTCCGCACCTCAGGTGCTGGCAGCATCAGCCTCCACGGCTGCACACTCAACCTCACTAAGCCAGTCAGGAACCTGGGTGATTTGTTTGACCCTGAACTATCCTTTCTCCCCACCACCTCCGAAACATTGCCAGACTCCGCCACTGCCTCACCCCTCAAGCTGTCGAATCCCTCACCTACGTTTTCATCACATCAAGGCTCGATTACGGGAACTCCCTCCTCATCGGCCTTCCCAACTCTTCCTTCACAAGTTGCAGATCATCCAAAACTCTGCAGCTCTTGTACTCTCGCACACCAGGCTCCGTGACTCCATCACTCCCACCCTCGCCCGACTCCACTGGCTCCCCATCCCTCAGAGGATCGAATTCAAGATTCTCGTCCTCACTTTCGAGGCCATCCATGGCCTTGCCCCCTCCTACCTCTTTGACCTGCTGACTCCATACCAACGTGCCCGCTCCCTCTGTTCAGCGGGCTCCGACCTGCTCCATGTTTCCCGCCCAACCCGCCCTACCATCGGTGGCCGGGCTTTCAGCCTCTCTGCCCCCACACTCGGGAACTCCATCCCACAGTCCCTTTGCCTCGCTTCTTCCCTCGCCTCCTTCAAGGCCGGTCTCAAGATCCTTCTCTTCGACCATGCCTTTGGTCTCCCTCCCACCTCTCTGTCTTCCCTCACCCCTACTCCACCGCTCCCCCATGCTCGGGCCCCGACACCTGACTGTTCAGCGCCTTGGGACATTCTCCCGACGTGAAAGGCGCTCTATAAATGTAATCTTGTTGTTGTTGTTGTTGTTGTCGGATTTACCAGATCAATGACTGAATTAACAAGCATATTTAAAACAAGTAAGAATACACATGAATCAGTATCGGGCATTTTGTTCGATTTACCCGACATCCGGCTAAAGCGGCTTCCACTCTATTCCCTTTTGAGAAGACATAAATTAAACCGTTCCCGCAGGAACCATGCTAAAGCCTCACCTAAAACTTAAATTAAGCCAATGTTACAAGACAGCATACATTGTGTACTAGAAGATTTGTTAATGGAAGTTTATCTGGAGACTGTTAAATGTTCATCACAAGAAATAGATATGTAGCTAATAACCATTCCATTGCTTGGCTGTTAAAGGAAAAATTGGTTGATCTAGATGGATCACTTGGACCTCTAATAATAGATCCCTCTTGTAGCAGATTGAAAATAAAGTTGGTACTGGGACATTGAGAATGAATGTTCACTGGTCAATAAAAACATCCTCCCACCCACACATGAGATGGTAGAAAATGCTGATCTGGCGAGGTTACAAAAAGCAATATTATGGTGTTCCCAGTAACACCAGCAGGTCTATTTCAAATAATTCTATATCAAAAAAATGTTTCAGGTCCTTTCACAATATTGTACCCTCCACTCTCCTGAATCTTGTTTATTTCACTCTCTCCTCACTTTGTTCCACTATTGACGGCTGAGTCTTCAGTCACAATCAATGCACCTGTCCTGTGGAACTCTCTTCTAAAACCAATTTAATTTGTTATATCTCCTCAAGAAAAATCTCTTTGATCGTGCCTTAGTCAACAACTTTAAATTATTCATTTTCCGGCTAAATGTCCAATACTACTTTTTGTCAAGAGCTTTGAACCAAATGTGGTACATATGTCACCTATGATACCACATTATTGGAAATGGCGTCCCATCACTGGCTCAGTCGCTGTTTGATGCTCACCCTCCAAATGTCAAAATCTCACCTTACCTCATGGCATGATAATTCACAGAATATCAGTTTAAGTTAACTATAAAAGTTAACATGCATATTCCTAATACAAGTTAGACATGGTACTTGGTGGTGATATCCTCTAAGGTTAGAGAACTACTTTATCAGCCAACTTTTGTCGAAGAGCAATAGAACAATGAAAGCAGATCAAGTTTCTTTATAATGTACAGAAAGGTAAAGTATATGCATCTCTGAATGATATCTAAATAAAAAGTAACACCATTAAGTGTAAAGTATTACCTGCAAGTAGACATTAGTGAGGAATAAGCATCTAATGAATGAAACTGAGTTACCACAATAATAATGTTGCAAATATTACCAATGAACAATTTGTCTCACCTTGCATTTAGTTTCATCTGTGTCCAATAGATTAATCAGAACCTCTAAGCCACCCACATCTCGGATGGCTAATTGGCATGTTTCATTAGTCAAGTTGAAATCCCTCATCGAACACAATGCAATAATGGTAGCCGTTTGGTTACCACCCTGAAATTAGTATTGACAACAAAATTAGACACATCAAAAATAACTTTATAGCACACTCTTATGTTCAAACACCTTAGTAAACAAATTAAAACTTTCCAAGTGACAATTATTCATTTTGAACCTACGTATTCAATCACAAAATTTTGAAAAAGATAAATATTCTAAACCTCTGTTAGCATGCGTTTCTCAACATCGGTAACACAGATTTCTTAAGTAGTTTTAAATAGGTACGGTATCCAATCAAAGCAACTTTTTGAGATAAAAAACTGTTTTGGATTTGTATATTGATGATATACATAATCATAATGGTATTTTAATATATTTAAAATTGCTGAATGTTTCCATTGTACAATATCACCCTTTTCATATCTGCAAAGCCAAACATTTTCTACTCTATGCTGAGAATTTTTATTAGCTTTGACTTATAACTTATGTAGGTTCAGCAAAATAAATACTATTTCTTTTCAACAACAATGTAGATTTGTACCTTTAGGGATTCAAAGCAGGTGGCTGAAATAGCAGGTCCTATTGTTATCAAATATATTAATATGATCAACTGACGTATTCCAAATTCTGAAGCAACTCCTTTGCTTCCCTATAACTGAATTCAAATCCAGATGTGACCCTTTCTTGGTGTAATTTAAACAGGGTTCAGCAACACTGCAACCATTTGGCTGCCCGCACAATATTTATAAATTGAGGGATATTATTGAGCAAGTTATAAAGGGATTTAGGGCTCAGTATTTGTGGTGAAAATTTAAACGAAAATTATATTTTGTGCCAATTCATTTTTTAAATCATGTGTGAAGATCAATCTATGAGAGTTTTGAAATAAACCACAATAAAATGTAATTCATATCTTTAGAAACAAACATTTGATGGGTTAACATGATTGTTGGTACCACAAATGGTTGTTGCCTTTAATGATCTTATTAACCAGTCAAACAACATCACTCCAAGAAGCATCCAGTTTCTACCCCATGTGAAATTAAAGAAAAACTTACATGAGATTATTAGGGACTTTAAAATCTGATAATTTAGACAAAAATAAATTCTTCTGGCACCCGAGCAATCATATTTTATGGCCTAAAATTATGTGCAGATTCAACTACAATGTAAGCCACTTTGCAAATAAAAGATTTTTCTTTCTACACACTACTGTAAAAAGATGTTAAGATAGAAATTCATAAAATGATCTGTGCCATTTCAGTGATTAACACATTCACTGAGAATAATTTGTAGTTTGGAGGGCAGTGCAGTTTGTACAGTTAAAGCAAGACGAGCACAGATCATGCAGATGAGTTAAAACATCAGAAATAAAATCTTCGTAAGCCTGGTACGTGGCATTGCACTGGGACTACAAGAACATCAAGGTGGCTAGCATGTCACAAGCTGTCCTGTAAAGGTCCTCCCACCACACTGAAGGCAGATGCCCGTCAAGATAACTAATGAGGAAACTCTGAGGCTTGGAGCAACAGCTGCTGGAAGGTGTTCCCTGGAGTCCGAGTTCGTGAACACACGTTCGTACGTCCAGCGTCAAGAATCCACCTTGATTGGCCTGCAGAGAGACAAGCAGCTGCTGCTTAAACTCCGAAACTCAAACTCGCTCTATGAGAAGGGATCTGTACCCGAGCTGCGGACAGGAAGATGGTCGCAATGCTCTCATGCATTTCATGCTGTGCTGCGTTACCCACCATACAGCTTGCAGGGAGTTCCTTGTACCTACCATCCACCTAGTGAGGGCTCAAACCCACGATTGTCGAATGTCGAACGGCCAACTAGTGATTATCCTCCATGGGGAGGGAGAGAGTTAAGCGGGGTCTCCTTGGAGCTGAACTGGCTCCACGGTGATATATATGCCTGGCAAAATAATGTCAGAATTGAGCCAGCCCTCATCCAACTCAGCCCATTTAGATAGCTGATGAGAAAACTCTGGAGCAACAGCTGCTGGAAGGTGTTCCCTGGAGTCCGAGTTCGTGAACGCACAACCCTACAAGCCAAAGCCATAACAGGTAGAGTGGTCCTAGCTGTGCAAGCAGCAAGAAAGCTTGCCGGACTGCAATATCAATGGCAAGTTATGCGGTTTTAGCAGGTTAAACTCCAGCAGATACCCCAACGCATATCTGGGGTCCCCAAGCCTTGGCTTTTGGCAACCTAAGAACATAAGAATTAGAAGCAGGAGTAGGCCATTCGGCCCCTCTAGCCTGCCCCGCCATTCAATAAGATCATGGCTGGTCTATTCTAACTTCACCTACCTGCCTTATCCCGATAGCCCTTTATCCCTTATCCACAAGACATCTATCAATTTCAGTCTTGAATATGTTCAAGGACTGAGCATCTACAGGCCTTTGGGGTAGAGAATTCCATAAACTCACTATCCTTTGAGTGAAGAAGTTTTTTCTCACCTCAGTGCGAAAGGGCTTACCCCTAATTTTAATAATAATAATAATAATAATAATACTCTTGTATTCTAACCCCTTTGTAACAAATGACAACATACCGTTAGCCTTCCTAATCGCTTGCTGTACCTGCAAACTAACTTTTCGTGACTGGTGTACAAGGACACTCAAGTCCTTCTGAACGCTAACACTATCTAGTCTCTCCCCTTCTAAAAAATAATCTGTGCTACTGTTTTTGCCACCACCGAGGATGACATTAAAAAAATGTAACGAGATATAGATAGGCTAGGTAAGTGGGCAAATAGGTGGCAGATGAAGTATAATGTAGGGAAGTGTGAAGTCATCCACCTAGGTACTCTCCCTCCTAGTTAAGTGTCATCCATGAATTTGGATATATTAAGTTCGATGTCCTCATCCTCGTTGATGTAGATTGTAAATAGTTGAGGCCCAAGCACTGATCCTTGTGGTACTCCACTAGTCACATCCTGCCAATCTGAGAAGGACCCGTTTATCCCTACTCCTTGTTTTCTTCCCGTTAGCCATTCTTCAATCCATGCTGATATATTCCCCTTAATTCCATGGGCCCTAATCTTGTGGATCAATCTTTTATGCGGCACCTTATCGAATGCCTTTTGGAAATCTAAATACACTACATCCACTGATTCTCCCCTATCTAATCTACTTGATATGTCCTCAAAAAAATCTAAAAGATTTGTTAAGCATGACTTCCCTTTTGTAAAGCCATGTTGACTCTGTCTAATCATATTGTGGTCCTCTAAGTATCCCACTACAACATCCTTAATTAAGGATTCTAGAATTTTCCCTACCACCGATATCAGACGAACTGGTCTATAGTTCCCCATCTTTTCTCTCTCACCCTTACCAAAATTAGGTAAGCAGGATGCGTCCTTCCAGGGAGAAAGTGCATTTCAACAATCTATCTCTGGGATTTCCATGTGTAGGTGGGATGCATGGAAATCTCCGTTTGGTTTGGAACCTCTTAAGCATGGTGATGGGTTTTCATATGTGTCAGACACCCAGCTGACCAAAAAAATATTTTATGTTGATTAACTCCTGCATATTTCCTCAAATAAAGTAGTTATTAGCAAGTAAGTTCTGGATAGCTACCCCGGTGTTGTGTGGATCTACCACAGTTTTGAACACATAAGTGATACCCCAAAGATAGCAATATTTTTAGTGCTGTTTGCAGATCAAGAATGAAAGCATTTTATGTGACGCATTGAATTCCTGTGGTATATGATAAGGCTCTATAAAAATTAAAGTTTTTTTTTCTATGGGCACATATGTTTTTACATATGTATCTTTTTAGACTCTTTGACTCTTAAAATTCTGAACAGTATGATTTGCTGACTAAACGTCCAATGGATTAATGTTCCTTTTATAAACTATAAGTTACACCACAAATATAGGTAGTTTATCAAATGGAGGAGAATAAAATGCACTGACCTACCATGGTCAATAAATGTAACAATAGTCAGAAAATTACTTTTTCAGAGTGTAGCGATCACATTCAAACAATGATTGGTCAACAATTGCAATGAAATTTTTACAATACAATTTGGATGTACTGTATATGGAAACCACATTTTAGCACCCTTTGATTTAGTGCAGCCTTGCTTACATCTTGGGTTCCCTGTGGACCCACGCTAGAAGTACAGTACTTGAGTTTATCAATCAACACTTCATACCTCGATTTTCTCTAAGACATTAATGCCTATTCCACTCCTCCAAACAGCTGATTGAAACACTAACCGTATTTTCTATACTAAAATCTTAACATAAATATGTTGCTCTTCTCCCCACAGTCTCACCTCAGCCACTCTTAAGAGGCCATTTGTATTCAGTACTTGACCTGTTTTGGATATACCCCAAATATCCTTGCTACTACTTGTGTCCGTTACAATTTGTTTTCCCAATGTTCTCCTTTTAGATTTTGATTTTTTTGAATAAACTTTCTTAGGTTATTTTAGAAGATTTTGTTCTTCCTTCGTGCTTACACATTCACAACCTACATCTAGAAAAAATGGCTAAAATAGCTACTTTATTCGTCCTTCACAATGTTCTTCTCTAGCTGACTGCCCAGACCAACAGCAGCAGTTATACTTTTTCCATTTATTCACGACTTCAATCCTTTTTAGTTGACACCAAAAGTTGCTTCTGTGACCTTGGGGCTCTCTGCCTGTAATCCCTCCAAAACCAAAAACAATAATAAATTGGTCATTTTCAATCTACAATCCCACAATGTCTGTGGGACATTGCTGTGCGCAATTGGCTGCCGCGTTCGCCCACAAATATACAGTCAATTCACTTTACAGTGTGTTCTGTGAAGCGCTTTGGGACGTCCTCCCGACGTGAAAAACGCTATTTCAAATGCAAGGATTATTATTATTATTATATTACTTACTGCTAGGTAAACAGAGGCGTGTGGAGAAAGGAAACTTACCTGAGGTTTTGATAACAATCAGGTACTGATAACAATCAACAATTGGGACTAATGCCCCTTGTATCTTCCAATCAATGCTTTCAATGTCTTCTCTTGAGCTGTGCAGAACCATTATTCAACATTTGGGGGACCCACTA